ATTAGTTCTATTAGTACTAATAGTACTATTAGTACTATTAACAATAGTAACTTAGTACTATTAGTACTAATAATAGTAACAGTATAACTTAGTACCATTAGTACAAATAGTACTAAGTTACTATTAGAATTAAGAAGTTCTGATGTGATATTTTGCAGTAAGGTGACAATAGATAATAATAATATGCTCTGTATCTCAAAAATCTAAGGAGAAAAAAAAGACTTTCATCATTGTTAGTCAGTTTTTCACTTCTGTGACAAAATACCTAAGAAAAAAAACTTAAAAGTGGAAATATTTATTTTGGTTCATGGTTTCAGAGACATCAGTAATGGCCACTTGGCTCTGTTTTTTCTGGTCTTGTGGTGAAGCAGAATATCATTTCAGGGAGTGGATGGCAGAACAAAACTGCTCACCTCCTGGCATCCAGGAAGCAGAGAGAGGGGACAGGGTAGCAAGATATAATCCTCAAGGGCATGCTTTAAGGAMTCACTTCTTTCAAGTAAGTCTCACATTCTACAGTTCCCTCACCTCCCAGTAGATCAGACTTCTATGAATTCATCGTTGGATTAATTCAATCATGATGTTAGTGCTCTCATGATCCAATCACCTTCCAAAAGTTCCACTACTGGGTATTGCTGCTTTGGGGACCAAGCCTTCAACACGTGAGCCTTTGAGGGATGTTWGAGATTCATATCATAAAAACCATGAAGCAAGCCAGAATCCATGGCACACACCTATAATCTCAGCACCTTTGGAGGTTGAGRAAGAAGGATCATGAGTTCAAAACCGATCTCAGCAAGAGYGAGGTGCTGAACAACTCAGTGAGACCCTGTCTGTAAATAAAATACAAAGTAGGGCTGGGGATGTGACTCAGTGGTTGAGTGCCCCTGAGTTTAATCCCCAGTACAAAAACAGAAACAAACAAAAAACATGAAGCAATAATAGATGTTTCAGAACATGTTTAATTTAATATAAACATTATATAATGTACATGTGTATCAAAATATCAAATGATAACTCATTAATATGTATAACAATTATTTAAGTATCAGCCTCAAAAAACTAAAAAGGACAGTATTTATTTATTTTGTGGTACTTAAGATTGAGCCCCAGTCCTAAAGTGTGTTAGGCAAATGTTCCATCAACATTTGAAATGCATATATTTCAATATGAACTTATATCCCAGACCTTTTTTTTTTTTTTCCAAGATAAGTTCTTCCTAAGTTACCAGTTGCAAGGCTGTTCTTGAATCTGTGATCTTCCTACCTCATGAGCAGCTGGGATTAAAGTTGTGTACCATTGCAACTGGCTCCAAAGTCTATATTATGTACTCCACTAACAAGTTCTTCCAACTGAACTTATTTGCCATTTCCTATTATACCCATTCCCCATTTTTATCATCTCTAGAACCTATTACTATCATATATATATATATCTTATTATATACATACATATATTATTGCTTGTTTTCTTTCTCATAGAATCAAAACTGAAATATGTAGTAGTTTTATTTTATCTGTTAAATCTCCTGTTATTCAAATTATTTTATGTCATATATACTCCATAAATATTGGTTGAATTAATTAATTAATTTATTTTCTAAATTCCAATTCTCTTACAGCCATTCTATTCCTTAAGGTATATTTTTATTTAAACATGTTTTTATATGTCATATGAATACAAGAATATTTGCATTTTCAAGCTATTATTCAATGTAAACTGTCTCCAGTCAACCCTCTTATGAAAAAAAAAATATTTCAAGTGTTTTTTTTTTCAATTTAAAACTACAAAACATGGATTCATTGTACTAGATTTTAAATCATATTGAAATATATGCATTTCAAAATTACTGTGTGTAATTAGAATTAAGTATGTTAAACAAGTTATAAATGATAAGCCTTTAAATTCTTCATCAAGGAAAATCTTAATTCCTGTGTTAGAATTGGGTAGAAAGATTCAGATAACTATCATCCCAAGAAAATTTATACATAAAACTAAGTTCATACATCTCCACAGGGTCATCCTATATCAATTCATTTTTTWAAATTCATTTCTATGTCTTTTTTAATATGTGCTCAAATATCAAAGACATGCATGTAATTTTCTATGGCACAGATATTGGATGACAATGTCTGATTATTTTACAGTCTTAGGTTGTGTCTTCCAAACTTTTAAACCTACATAAGAGACAAATTCTAATAGAGCGTCTTCAGATCATTTTGGTGTAACAAAAAAGTAGAAAAAGAACTTGAGAGTAAAAATATAGTATAATCTTCAGTATTTCTTCAAAATTTTCAGGTATAGTCACTTTGACATCTTATTTTGTGGCAAAAGCAGAAAATATATTTGAGAAATAGCCAACTCAAGATGTTTTAAAAGTATCATGTAGTTTTGAAATCAAAATTATATATTGTTTCAGAATTGTTTTACCTGGGAAAAATGCTACATTTTACAACATTTTAATTGATGCAGACAGGAAGAGAGATGTATMTCTTGTTCAGTTTTCAATTCTTAGGAGATTTCTTCAAATTATAGAGTAAAATGCTCTATCGATTCAATAGCTACTTCAATCATTTTTTTTGAAAACTATATCTGCATCCATAGGAAAAGGGATTTTATTATCTTTGAATTACAATTTGGAATGTCATGAGTTATATCATAGGACAAAGTTTGTTAAATGAACACTGGCAGTGCCATTAGTGCTTTGCTCTTGAACTCAAGTACAAGTCAGTTCCGTTTAAGTCACATTTGTAGAAGCCAGAAATGAATGTGCAGTTAAAAYGGTGCCATAAGTTAATTAGGGTGGAATTAGAAGGAAAGTGGGCAATTTAGGAACATTAGAATTGCTGTACCGAATCAGACCAATGGTTCTCCTGGTTTAATATCCTGCCTGAAGCAGCTGTACTTGTTAGTTTCTACAGCTTTAAAAGAAAAGAAAAAGACTACATAATTCTYCTAGACAAGTGTGCCATCTGTGATCTGGAGAAATTTTCTTCTTGACCTCTCTCAAATAACACCCTAAAGCAGGAGGTTTCAATCCTACTATGATTTTGGTTTAGCTTGAATAGCTATGGTTATTAATAATCCTTATTAAATCATCCAATTGCTACATAAAATCAACTAGTCCATCAGGAAGCTATTTATCTSTAAAGCTCCTGAATTCACGGTTGAGTATGCCTGCTTCTATGATAAAATATGAATTTATGGTGCTTATTCAATACAAGTTYGTGATGGCAAAACCTGCCACTTGAGAACTATGCTGGATGAATGCTTTTCTTTCCATAACTCTGCTGAGTTTAGAGGCTTTTGGTTAACACCTTTCCCCAAGTCCCCCAAAATCATGTATCTACTAACACTTCCAAATTTATATTAATGATCTACAGATCTATTTGAATGATGAAGAATTTGAAGTACTAAGAAAATTTCAAATGGAGTTTGCATGCATTTTTGCTTAAGGTAAAAATAAACCTAAGAGAAAGGATTGCATTCRTTGATTATCTTTAATAATTTAGTGTTCTGTGTCTGGGGTAGAAGGAACTATAACTACTTCATARACATTTTAAAAATTACTATGAAGACCATCTTCAGATTAATATTTATAAAATAGTGCATTCGTGACAGACTTTTCATCAAAAATCCCTCAAGAGTAGTAAATCCCTAYAAGCTAAACTATTTACCTAGGCTACCAGATATTAATTTGATAACAAAAGTATCCTAAATTTTTAGTTCTTCTTCTAMCTTAGAATTTGAAATAATATTTTTATCATTATTTGAACCAAGAAGCAAATTTTTTACTTATGTCTCTCTTTATTCTTTTCCTTTTCCCTAATCTTCCCCACTTGCCTTTCTGATTCAGTTTCTTATTACTTCAACTAGAATCCCTTTCTTCCAGGTAATTTCCTTTCAAGCATGTAGTGAATGCYCCTTCTTCTGACAAATAGTGTCCTTTGTTTAGACATGGTTCAGGATACTTTGTMCTGTTGGTTCTTTGTATCCATTAATGTCTTTGCTTATGAATTCCCTGAGGAAAAYTGTATGTCCCATATTTATTTGTATCTTTATAAACTAGATTAGTATCTAACTAATAATAAAAACATAAAGATGCAYTAATGAGAAACCTATACACTAGCAAATAACCAATTAAAGCCATTTTTATGATATCATGGTAATCATGTTTATGGAGTGCTAGAAAGGTATAAATGGAACTAAAAATAAAAATGGAGTCAACTTTTTATTGAAATCACAATTAAAGATTTGGAAATATAAACAAAAATATATTATGAAGTTTTTGAATAAATGTATACCCATGAGATTGGTAAATAAAGAAATTCCAAATAGAATTAGAAGCTGGAATAAAGGCAAAGAAGTAAAATAGAGCTGAGAGCTGACAGTTACAGAGAATTGTCCCTAGTTCCTATTGGCTACTTTATGAAAAAAAAATATGTGAAAATAAGCTCAGCAATGTGGCTTACACTATATTTTTAGCCTTACTCTGAACCCAAGAGGGAATAATTGAAGATTTTTTTAATCAATTGGATCTATGAGAACATAAGAAGATCTTAAAAGTAAGATGAAGCAGTTTCGTAGATTAATGAGGTCACTACATAATGAGGAGCTATGTCTCAAACATTGAGTAGATGGTATTCATATTCATGGTGAAAAGTTTGGGTCTGGGAAGAGAATGGAACAAAAATTACATGTTCTTTTGAGCATGTTTAGGTATAAATCAATAAATACTTTATTGAATTTGAAAATATTTCCCTGGTATATTACATATAAATGCATGCAATAAACTCATCTTTACATTTTAATTTACGTAATTTTTACTAATACACTACTTCAAGATACTAAAAATGATCAACCCCGTTCATTTATGTTTGAGATCACCAAAATATATCACCATTTTTGACTGATTCAAAGTGCTTGTTGACTGTTTTACAGAAGAATATTCTTATTTTGTTTAAAAATTATCTTAAAAGAAATAAAATGTCKATATTTAGGCATCCAAATGGGACCCAGAACAATAGCACAAGATGGCCAGTCTTCAAAAGCACTGAACAAAAGTACCTAAGTTTGAACACAGGATCTCCAAGTGTGCACASTAAACTACGTGCTCAACAATGCCGATTCTGGACACTGTTTTTTCCCAAAGTCTTGGAAATGACAGGTATTTGTGTGTTTGTTATTGTTTGGTTGAATAATAGATTGCAACTGTATAAATGAGAAGAGGTCTACTATTCAAGGCATTATTCATGTAATAATGTTAATATTCAATATTATGACTTTACAGCTACTTGATTCCAATGAGTCCATAATTTTAATAACATTTTTTCCAGCAAATTTAGACATATGTTTTGAGCACTAACTATATGAGTAGTACTTTAGTAGTATTTTAGTTGTTAAATAAATAAATAAAWAATAACTTTCCTCCTGGAGAAGTATAAAATTTAAATTGGGCCYTACTTACTCAGCCATCATCATGGAATGAATTAATGAATATATGAATAAATACATAAAATAAACAACATATAGAATTAAAAAGTATGTACTAAAAATAGGTAAAATTAATTTGTTAAATAGAATCTGTGGGATKAAAGAGCTTCAAAATTTACATATTTAAAAACATAATCAAAATGTTTTAAGGAATCTAAGATTGAAAGTATTTAAGAACATACACACATGTGTAAATTACATAATATTATAAACAAATGTGGTTAACTAATCTTCSTGGTGTAATTGCTTAAAACTATATAAGGAAATACTATAAAAATAAGTTCTGATTATCATTAATTCAATATTCCTTACTGAGAAAATATTTTAATTAGCTTGAGTGATCAGACATATATCATCCTACTATGATGTCTCTGAGAAGAGTGAAATTCATATTCAATTCATTGCCAAGTTTTAAAATACCCAGTCATTAATGATTCATGTTGTTCCTCAAATCTATTTTTAAATTTTACTTTTCAAATAATTGACTTTCAATCAGCTGGCCTATTGCTGCTGAGTTCCACCATCTTGATTGTCATGGTTGTCTGTAATTTTCAGCCTATACAAATAGGATGTTGCAACATAGTATGTTTTTATTTTCTTGTTTAGAGATTTTAGGGGTTAGTTTCAGACAAATATGAACATCTTAGAGATGCACTGGATTGTTTAATATGCCTTTTGATTATCAGACATTACTCACCAACATTATGATTGTGTACTCCATCTGTTTAGGATATGTTTCTTACATACCAGTGCTCTGTGTATTGCCAAATGTTGTGTGACATAATATATACCCAGAGATGGGTCTCTGCCTCCCTTGGCAAAGCAACAGTGCAGTCCTTGTGTCCTCCACATGTGAATAACAATGAGGTAACCCATTTAATCTGCCAAGAGACCCAAACAGATACTATTTAACATATCACAGACTACATATTCATCTTTATTTAAAATATTTTGAATGAGTGCATCCTAATTTGAAGGAAAATAAGTGAGGGGAGAGGGCAATGGTGATTTTAAATGACTCATTTATTATATGAAAAACTGAATCCTTTTCGTCACAAGTTGTCTATGGTAATTTATTTGTTGATAAAATAAAACTCAAATACTAGAAAACATTGAAAACAGGCTTCYAAAATCTCTCTGTCAATATACTAATCTGCTACAAAACAGGTTGAATAAACACATTCCAATATTTTGGACCAGCTGCTGCTGCTTGCAATAATGCTGGACRATGTCAGAGCTTGAGCCTCACTGAGCTCTATAGAAATACCTGACTTGCTCTGGGCTAGTACCACACTAAGGTTAGATCCAAGGTGGCTTAAAAAGATAATTTTGTATTTAAGCACCATTTTTCTTCTAAAAAATTCCTCCCCCAAAACACTTTTCATATTAAATATATGAATTTGTAAGTTGTAAACTAAATATATGCCATGATTATAGTAACATCAACAATAGATTCATTAATTAAAAATCATTACRTTTAAACAAACAAAACCAATTTGAAGTTACATGCTTTAGGTTTCATAAATAAACAGTGTATGGGGATTAAAAAGTTTAAGAACACATGTTCTGGCCATCTCTCATTTTTTCCAGCCACAAAACTTCAAATATTTTCATATTTAATTTTTTGAAAATTAGTGTCAATAAGATAGCTGAAGGACTTAGCTATTTTTTAAGGTAGCCCTACAAATAAATGAAAATTTCAGAAGATAACTACTGACTGGTTTTCTTAAAAGCAGAAATGTTTACTTCACGTAATACCAGAAGCTCACTAAACATTATAAGTACTACTTCAGTGATAGTTTACATTTGAGCAATAAACGTTCTCAAATAGACTGATTCTTAGAACTTGTTTAAACACATGAATTCTAGCACTTCACTTCCAGGCTATACTTCAGTCCATGCCTTGGAGCTATTGCATGCACCTGTAAAAAATAAAGRTACAGTATTTGTTTCCAATTCTATCAAATTCTGCTTTTCACTATATCTCATGCTTATCTGAATAAAGAAAGGTAAGTAGAGGAATTACCCATTATTTGTTCTCAATGATATTGTCTTTTCCATTAAAAATGAAAGAGTAAATTTATTTAAAKTAAGAAGTTATTTGACTTTTATATCATCCCAATAAAGAAAAATATTAGATACAATGGTTTTTCCATTGGCCTTTGAATAAATCATGGGATACTGTTGCTTGCTAAAATTAAAGAACACCAAATAAAAAATTGAAGAGGTCAGATATCTTTTGGATTGGTTACTTTGTAGTTATTTACTTCTGTTTGCAAATCAATAAGTAAGACTGACAACCAAAAATGAGAGCAGACAGGTGATTTGGAGATAAAAATTCAAACTGATTTTTTTGTATTAATATGTCTGAATTCTCCACTCATCATTAACAGTAAATCAAAACAAAGACAAAGGTGTTGAGTAACTTATAATGAAATCAACTTAATTGTACAAGTCTTCACAATGCCMACCTGAATTTAAAGTAGTTCATTCTATCATCTCATCCCACATTAAAACTAAAATAGGAAATCTAATATATTTGTGAGCTACTACATAAAAATATGAATTCCCTGATAATTTTTATAACTAGTCCATGATAGGGAAATAAATATAAGATGGGGGATGAAATAAATTTTAATGAACTCTCGAATACATAAATTATGGTGTTTTAATTATCATACTTGGCACAATTCAATGTCAATTTCATGTCTTCTTCTAACTTACCTCCAGTAAAAATTTAGATCAATTGATCAAACTGTATTTTAATTCTCTCCTTCTATGATCTGAATGTYTGTGTCCTTCTAAAAATCATATGCTGAAATCTTAACCCACAAAGTGGTGGTATTACAAGGTTCAACCTTTGGTAGGTGATGAGGTTATGAGAGTACAGATTTCATCATGGGATTAATGCCCTTATAAGAAAGGTTTGAGAGAACTTCTTTGTTGCAACACAGGGGGACACATGATAAGACAGCCATCTATGAAAGACGAAATAGGACTACACCAGACTTCAAATCTGTGGGTGCCTTAATCATGTTCTTAGAACTGTGAAAAGTACCTTTCTGCTGTGCACAGGCCACCCAAAGTGTGTCATTTCATAATAGAAGAACAAATGAGCTAAAACATCTTCTAATTTCTCTGAATTAAATAAATAGACTAAGTTCTGCTGACAAGTTGCTCAATTACTTTTATTAACAAAACAAAACAAAATCTTATCATTATTATTCTTCTCATAAGGAAAAAATAACATTTTTCTCAAATAATACAAAATATGGGCAAAATAACGGTTACAAAAATGTGAATTAAAAAAATTATTTTCATATGTTTATGAAATTACTTTTTCTTATTTCTTATTATTCTCCCATTGCTATTCCTTTCTCTTTCTCTTGTATCTTGTCAAACAAACAAAAAAATTGATCCTCTTCTTTTATACTCCCCAAAACCCACACACATAGARCAGGTTGTCTCTGTTTTATATTTTAGAAAATATTTTGTGCCATTTGAAATAATTTTAGTTAAATTACTCATCTAAATGAAATTGTAAAAAAATGAAACAATCTCATTTAATACTAGGCATAATAAGAAAGTTAAAAATAATAACAAATTAATAGAATGTATTTATCAAGACATATACATGAATATATAAAAAAACTTTAAAATACATTTATATTTATGTAAATGAACTCATTACACTTGTGATGTAATATTATGCCTTATATATTCATATTAAAATTGCTATCATAAATATAAAGGATTACTCTTTTTCTAAGGAATCTTCATGTAAAATCATAAATTTATTTATGCACTTATWATCATAAATATTCAGATTCTCTGTGTTTATTTTTCACTTTATCATTCAACAGTTATATTTCAGGAAACAAAAACTGCATTATCTATTATTTTTTATAGTACATAAAAACAATCCATAATCTTGCAGAATTTAGTTTTATTAATGAAAGCCTAGTCATTGACTCTTTTTTTTTTTTTTTTTTTTGGTACTAGGGATTGAACTCAGGAGCACTTGACCACTGAGCCATATCCCCAGCCCTATTTTTTATTTTTATTTACAGACAGTGTCTCACTGAGTTGCTTAGTGCCTCAGCATCACTGAGGCTGGCTTTGAACTTGGGATCCTCCTGCCTCAGCCTTGTGAGCTGCTGGGAGTACAGGTGTGTGCCACCATGCCCAGCCCATTGACTCTTCTCTGGATTTTTGAAGAGTAGCTTTGACTTCAGATTATAAAATGTACTTCTATCTATATTAGGAGATCAATGTGTTGTCAAATTACACATTGGTATGAGTAATGCTTATATAGTCCCCTCCTCAAAATATTACTAAATTAGCATTTTTGTTAAGATAGATGTTTTTGGGGGGTGGTAGGTGCACTGTGAGTGGACAATATTACTTTTGAAATTGACATTAAAAAATAGAAAATAATTTCTAAACAATTAAACAGGTGTACCGAGTTTGATTGGAGTATCTTTCCTAGGTAGTTAACACTTCACTACTTACTGAGCATTTTCTAGAGCATGTTATGACACGTATAACAAAATATCTGGTAGAAATATGATTTCTCTTTTTTTCTATTTTTTCATCAGTTAATTTGATAAATTTTTACAGAGCTTATTGTCTGCTGCTGTGTCCTAAGAACTGCACTATCAGCTAGAGCTACACAAATAAAACTGATAGAGTTTGCTCACTCACAGTGAAGTGATGGAGTCAGGGTGCATGATCATGGAAAGCTTTTAAGAGAAGATACCTGCACTGAATCTTAATCCCAAGGATAAGTGGAGAGAAGCCAGATAAGCAGGGACTAGAGATGAAGTGTCTCSTGTGTCATGCAAAGGAATTTAAATTCTATCTTAAGCAAAGCCATTTAGTAATTTTAAATGGAATTCTGACATGTTCTGGTTATTAATTCCTGAAAGTATTAGATTTCATGGCATGCAAGTTTTTCTACCYAGTCTACTTAGAGTTTCTGGAAGTATTATATGGCATCAACATAATAATTTCACTTCTGAGGCAATACTGTATATCCAAATAGCTGCTTTCGTTTGCTTGATTGTATCAAGAATATATTAGCTTCTCTTATATTCATTYATACTTTATATTTTATTTATATTTGTTTTATTCTTTAAAACTTACCATGAAAGTACTTTTTCCTGTTTTAGTATGACAAATTAAATTTAMCTCTAAATGGAAATTTGTATTCAAGGAACAATGGAGATGAGTTAAATTCTACAATTTAATTCTACAATTTATTGTTCTTAACATGTATTTAATATTTCAATAGTGCTTTTAGTTCCTATGTTTCACTGTGATACTCCTTTGTTTAAAAATCATTGGAATATTTACTTTCATTAGTAGTGAAGATTTTTAATCTTATTTCTGAATAATCATTTACTTATTTAAGATTTTGAACTTGATTAATTTCTTGTGTTATTCATATTGCCCTTATTTTTTCTTTTATTTATATTTTGCCATATATTTGTTCTTGATCTTTTACTTTTTACTTTTCTATATTACTTTATTTTGCATATGTCATTTAAATGACATAAGTTGAAGATAATTAGTGAATAGTATTGCTCTATTTTTTATATTACAAATGAGAAGATATTTGTCCATACTTACATTATATCAGAATTGTATGGAATGAATAAAGAGGACATCACATTCTGCATAAAAACTGGGGAAGGCCTATCAACTGATCTGTACTTCTTCATAAAAGTTAATTAATTTTAATATATCTTGGTGATCATTCCATTGTTTCTAGTGCCCAAAACATAAAGTATTACCACTATGGAGACAAAATAATAATAATAATAATAATAATAATGATAATGATAATAAAACTCTTCAAGTTAGAATTCTTTCTTTCTAAAGAAGTTGAAAGAGGATTCTAAGAATTAATTTATTTGAAGACAATTTCATTTCAATATTAAATGGTATGAGTAATGCTTATATAGCCCCCTCCTCAAAATATTACTAACTTAGCATTTTTGTTAAGACAACATAAGTTTTTTTTTGGGGGGGTGGCGGGTTTCATGGTGACTGGTGAGTAGACAATATTACTTTTGAAATTGACATTAAAAAATAGAAAATAATTTCTAAACAATTAAACAGGTGTAGGGATGTTAATCAATATTAACATGGTGTTAATCAATATTTTAATTTGATTGCTAACCATTCACTTGTTTTCTATGTTCTATATTTCCTTTCATTTCTTAGTCATTCTAAATTTTATTAACTTTTTTCTTTTTAACAAAGAATATTTGTACACATATAACATATTACTATAATTAGCACACTTATGGACTTTCAGATATGACTGGTTATGATGAGAAATATTATAAAACAAGATTAATTTTCTACGATTACTATATTCAGACAAAATTTATTTTGATGGCTTTCAGTTATACTTCTAGTTTAAACCCTCTATTTTGATCAATATAGGAAACCCATTTTCTTAAGCAGTGTCACTCTGTTCTAAGATATAATTTGATTAATATTAACTTTAGATCAAATACGATTTACTGTAATGGTCTTTCCTCTCTTAAATTTTAAATAAATGAATAATTTTGAAAAAATTATAATCCTTAACTGTGACATTTCTCTGTACTCAAGTTAAGTGGTTTTGTCACTGGTTATCACTAATATTGAAAATAATGGAGACATTGTCCCATGACTAGATTTGTATGTTCTTAGGAATAAGCAAGCTAGTATAAATTGAGAAGCAATAAGATAAAGAACAAGAGGAAGAGAAGATGGGAACGGAGAAAAAACTTCTAATTTTGGTTTGGGATATAGTCCTCAAACCTTCATTTTCTTCTTATTATAATGGTATCTTAACTTCTTTTGGATTTTGCTGGAAAATAATTAAATGTTTCATATTTTATTGTTTCAGTCAACACTATTTTTAAAGTCAAAACAAAAATTCCTAAGGTTTACACAGCATTTGTGCACTAAAAAGTTTTTCAAAACACTAAAATGTATAGATATTTGACTATGAAACATAATGATTATGAAACAACTTTACATTTACATGTAYATGAATCACTAGATTTGGGACCATTCCACAAATAAGAAAAGGAAGTCAGATCCAGGATCTTTTCTGTAACTATTAAAATTCATGCCCTAAATGCTAAATTACCAACAACTTATTTTTTATATAAAAATTTTATTATTTTTTTAACTTTATAGAGTCCTCATTTTGTCAGTAACATTTAAAATAGCATTTAATTATCATTAAAGGAAAATAAAAGGGGATTATTTGGTATGATATTTAAAATCCTTTTTTTCACATTTAATGTGTTTTTGACCCTTTAGGAAAGTTCTATTATTAACAAAAAAAATTATAGTGTTTGATCTTTGAAAGGCTATTTTTATATAACAGTGGGACATTTTATATAAATTCTCAAATATTTGTCCAATGTCCAAGCATTATAAATACTCCAAACCTAAATATATCTTAAAATACAAAGGATATTTAATGTATATTCAAATGTTTTATACATTTTGATTTTCATGCAGACTGAAAGTGGATCATTGAATTGTCTTCTCCAAATTAATTTCTTACAAAATTACCATTAATTTCAAAGTTTTAAACTGAAAATATATATTAAAATAAATTGTCAGTTTCTATCATCAGCATTCTTGAAATTACTTAATTTTTTTTTCAGTTTAATGATATGACTCAGAATCTTAAACATTTAAGAATGAAGATAATCACAACTGTATAAAATGCTTATAGATTTATATAACTTAAACGACATTACAGTTCTATCTACTTATATCAGAAACATTTAGAGTTTTTAATTTTCACATATATTAATATACTTTCAAATAAATCAGGATTTTGAGGTTCTTGATATTCATAAAACTTTTTTTGGTTTATTGCCTCTTTTTATTTCTGGCCAAACACTCCTTTATCCAGACACATATGAATACTTTGTGAACTGCTTGAAAAGAGATTTGTGTTATCTTTCTATTTTACAAAGAATTTAATAAACTGCTTTCACACAGTAAGCAGCTAGAAAAACAGCTAAACATTGTTTGGAAATTAAATAAAATGTAATATGTGTAAATGATAACCTCACAGTTCTCTTTATGCATTGATAAACACTCATGTGTAAGCATTTTACCAACAATACTGTTCTACTATATAATTACATATTTTAAAWATGCTTTACATGATTTTTTGTTATTTTGAAAAGGATTAATGAAAGTGAATCTACATATCTTCTCAGAGGCTAAAGAAACATGTTTGGTAATTTGACATAGTATTATATATGAACCCATTTCTTCATTTTATTTATTTTTACATTTTATAGACATTTTACACACATGTTATTCATATTTTCACATATGCATTAAAATTGTATTAAAAATTTATCAGGTAGAGATAGAAGCTGATATTAAATAWTGAATAAAGAATTGCTATGTGGTGTACTTGGAGAAAATGGCATCTATAATCAAAATTATTTTTCAATTAATGTAAGCAGATTAAAATTTAGATTAATGCAACTTATTCCATGTTCTACAGGAAATATTGATGAAGCAGAACAAGAGTGGAAAGCAGGATTCCATCGCTGGAACAATTACATGATGGACTGGAAAAATCAATTTAACGATTACACCAGCAAGAAAGAGAGCTGTATGGGTCTCTAATTAATAGATTTACCCTTTAGAGAATGTGCATTTTCCCATAGATGAAGGTAAAATATCAGTAGCTCTCTACATACCTTCGAAGAAAGCTATTATATAGCTGAAACAAAACTGCCAGAAGGGTAATATTGATCCCTCACATCTTTCACTTAGTATTTTACCTAGCATTTCAAAACCCAAATGGTTAGGCCACGTTTAATTAAATTTCACAATATGAAGTTTGACAATTAATTATATGCATATTAAAATGATGTGCTGCTTTAATCTTTATTTTCTGAATAACTAAGTGTTTTTCCCCAAAATGTATTTTGTTTTTAGTGGCATATGTATTTTCATTATTATTCTTAAAAAAAACAATGTTTTTAAAATGAATAAAATCTTGAAACACTGGATGCTATAATTTACAGTGTGGTTTCTTCTAATCAGTTGGCAAGATTAATGCCAATGTGAGATATTAAAACAAGCACAGACAATAATTCCCCTCTTTTTTGTTTTACRAAGGGAAGAGAGAATCCTAAAATGAGAGGCTGAGCATATTGGAAGTAATGATCATAAAATCAAAATGTTGCCATCAAGAGACATAATCAAGGAGTCTCTTTATAAAGCAAGAACAAACTAACTTATATCCAAGGTGGGAGGAGGAGTGGTTCATGGGATCATTCCATGTGTTTAGGACTTGTCATATGAGGCATCTAAGTGTCCTGCACATATTAATGGTGGGTCCCTAATTACCCTTCTCACAGATGTTCTCTTAAAGTACCTTTAATGCTGATGATCAAACATAATCCTGTTTCATCAATCAGAGGATTTTACATCAAATGACTTAAGTGATTAAGAAAAATACTAGAATCCTGGAAAAATGGCCTCCAAATCCATGATTTTGCTGTATAAGAGAAACCCTGATAATTCAACTACCTTTTGTGTGATTGTTCCTTATGAGAATGAGAAAGGAAATATAAAACAAAAATGTCCACTTAATGTATAACATATATGATACCAAATCCAACCTGGGTTTTGTCACAACTATCTTTAATGTAACATGAACTGTGAGTGACTCTTTGAGTGATGGCCATTAAAAGGGCAATTTAGATGCAGATTCTAAATCAGGAACTCCAAAGACAAAGTGGGTGCATGAAGATATAGAAATTCTTGTCTCTGATTTCTCGTTAGAGGTTTATATTTCAGCTGGCTCATGATGAAAAATTTTGGTAAGTTGAAATATCAACATTTTGTAAAGTCCTTTCTCTAGCATATACACAGACTCATGGGAACTATCACTTAATCTTGGTACATGTCTTAAAAACTGATAATTATACATAAATCTGTAACAGAGAAAATWTAGTAAATCCATTAGTGTCAGGACATTAGCTTGATCAATTATTTACATAATGGAAAAAATATTTTATTGTTTRGTATTCAAAATACTTATAAGGACTAAGGTAACAAGTCATATACCTTAAAAGAAACAAAATTATAACTAGTTTTCATTTTCTAAAAATTGGTTATGGAATATTTTCTGCAAAAAGAGTATAATTGTAAAAGTAAACTAATTAATTTCTGGCCAATTTGAAAATAAATTCCATGAATAAATCTTAACATAATTTTAGCTGTGACATGTTTTGCCAAGTATTCTAATAAATGTAACCTTCTGCATATTGCTGAATAGGGTAATAAACTCAACAGTGAGTGAAATTTCTCTTTCATAGAGAGTTTGGTTTAAAATGAAGGTGTTCAGGAAGAAAAAGAAACTTAGCTTTTGTTGGATCTTCCTAATGTAAAACAAACTGGAAGCACTATCAAYCTTCAGACTATGGAAAAGTAAAGCAAAAACGTCAGATTTAAACACACACAAACACACACACACTTACATACATTTCTACAAACAGGAGTTTATTGGTATTCAGCAAATGATGATATTAAAGAAATTCACTAAGTGATCTCATGCAGGAGAAAATCAGAGTATGAGACAGAGTGTATGATGGTCATATGATAGTTATCTAATTAAGCATCAAAATCAAATGTAAAATAACATAAAATATATTTTACAAATATAATATCAATAATTTATGCACATGTAATAATAAAAATAGTTAACACATATAACATATTAGAGGTGGTTGTGATAAAACACAAGAATTTTTTTCTATTTCCAAGTAATTCTATAATTGGCATTACTTTTTTTACAAATTGAAAGATGGAGACATTAAATCAATCATATTGTTAGTAATTGAGTGAAAAATACTCTTAAGCAAATATGGAGAAGCATTAGAGGTTTTTAGGGCAAAGAATGATAAAAACTCTATATGCCATTCCTCAAATCTACCAGTAACATCCAAATGTGATCATCTACAAATCATAATTTTTTGGAAATAAAGAGAGAAATCTCCTTTTACAATAAGCCCCAGCTTCTGTAAATTAGCTTACCTTGTTTTTTTTCTTATCWTTAGTTGAAATTTCACCATGACTGAGAGGTGAGATATAAAGACAAGAGAACTGGTATACTAGTTTTACCAGCTGACCCTAATAAAAATAGCCATGCGTAGACAACACAGAAACTCATATACCTAATCAAAAGAAGGCTGATTTTTCCTCTAAACATTGCCCATTTTCTTAGGTTAATTTAATTTCTTACGGTTACCCTACTGGTGAAAAAAACTGAATTTTCAAGGCAATTAGCTGTCAGAGCTCTGCCATCATGAGAGTCATTTCTGGATGCTTACTTAATGATTGCTTGTACAATGCTTCCACAGTGTGCTCCATGCTTGTTGATTTGAGTAGATGATTCAGGATAAGAGGCAACAGAGTTGAATTCTTCTATATGAGAAGACAATAGCACTGTGAATCTTTGGGGAACCAGAAGGAAACATGAAAAACAAAGGACTAGGAGGGGACAGGGGGAAGACACAACATTGTAGCCACCTCGAACTGAATTTATCAAAATGTGCCATTCAGACTTGAGGATCTCAATGTAGAAGAGTAGATTAGTTAGGGAATTGTAGAYATATTCAATGAATCAGAATTTCACATAGACATGTGGAGCATTTAGCTCAATGATTCCCAAACTTCAACCTTAACCATGCATTAGAAACYTTTGTATAACTTTGGTCTAAAACACACTAGGCCAATTGAATTAGAATCTCTAGGAATGAAGCCTAGAAATTGGTACTTTCAAAAATTTCCCTGATGGTTCTGACTTATTTCTCTATGATGGCACTAGTTATCTTGACATACTTGAGGTCAGTGCTTTTTCTAAGAAAGAAGTCCTAGATGAATAGTTTCAAAACTTTGTTATATATTTGAATTAGCTGAAAGGAAATTAAAAATTCCAAGAGACATGCCACTCCCCATACTAATTAAATTATAATGGGAAAGTGGGTGACAAGTATCTGAATTTCTTATAGATCCCTGAATAGTTTAAATGTGTGACAAAGTTTGGAAACCCATGCCCATCCTAGATGGTTAATTTAAAGTTCTGGAGGAATTTTCATATTGTAATACTCACAAGATTGTAAAATCTGCAGTTTTAGGTGAGAAAGAAATGTACTTACTACAAGTAATTATAACAGCAATTGCTGAAAGTGCACACTCTTGTCCTAAGACCTAGACACTAGCAAGTTATCTTTTCAGGATATCATTTTTTTTCCAATAATTATATGCTTTGGAGAAAGGTGTATTTAAAAATTAAGAAATATTAAATKTTAAGTGCATATACAATATTTTATGGTGGGTTTATATAATAACAATCATTGTAAGCAATCATGGTTTACTTTGAGCTAATCTGGAATTTTCTCACTTGATTATAATTAATGACATTAATTCAGATTTAAGATAAATAATTATAATTTTAATATTATGTTCCAGTGTATTTCTAATGTAAAAAGTGTTAACTATCCTATAAACACTCACGATTATAGGTAAACCTTYTTTCTGGTCTCATAAAAAGATGTTCTTTATATTAATTACCTAATGATTATTGAACTAAGTAGGTGAATATTAAGAATTGTTTTTCATTATGAAGTACTGGACCAAGTTTTTTTTTTTTTTTCCTGAGGCAATTATTSTGTTATCTTGTTTTCTTGAAAAGAGACCTTCTATTCTCCTTCAGTTGTTTTGGTATCTTTCAACACATCAAGAAGACCAGGAAAAAAAGTTATCAAAGAAATATAGTAAGGCTAAAGATGCATTTAAGAATGTCAAGCATTCTAAAACAATTYTTAAAGTACATGCAAAGAAACTCTACCCATATATCATCTATCCATCTCTCTATCCTTTGACCAATTAATCAACTATTCAGGATAGCCACTCCCAAATTTATCCAAAGTTGTAAAAAACAGAGGAATGTACTGGTTGACCTAACCCAATCTGAATAGAAATTTAAAGGAGAAAATATGAAATTGAAGTTAACAAAATCATCCTATGTGTACATATAAATATACCTCAGGAAATTCCACCTTTATGTATATGGAGAAAGCCCCAATTAAAATAAATAAATAAATGATAGAAAGGAAGATCAGTAAAGGAAGAAGAATAAGGGGAGGGAGGAGGGAAGGGAAAGGGASCAACAGGGGCTGAAATKATATAAATCAAATTCCATGTGTATATGATTTTATCAAAATGAGCTCAACTATTCTGCATAAAAAAAGAAATAGAGATGATCATATGGTTCTTGTCTTTAAGTCTATTGATGTGGTGAATAGCATTTATTGATTTCCGTATATT